CTTCCAACTGATCAAGATTGCTTCCAGTCACTGGAGGTCATCAACATAAAGAGAGACTATCATCACTTCTCCTCTTTGTTCCCTTACATAAAGGGTGTGCTCATTTGGACTTCTAGCATATCCTAGCTTGCACAAATAGTCATTAATTCTGCTATACCAGGCTCTAGGGGCCTGTTTGAGACCATACAAGGCCTTTTTGAGTATATAGACCTTCTCTTTTTTTCCTTTGACTTCATACCCCTCCGGTTGCTCAATGTAGATTTCCTCATCAAGCAATCCATTTAAAAAGGCAGACTTTACATCAAGTTGGAAGATTTTCCAACTGAATTGAGCTACCACTGCCATGAGAAGTCGAATGGTGTCATGTCTTGCCATAGGTGCAAAGGTTTCTAAAAAATCAATTCCAAATTGCTGTGCAAAGCCTTTAACAACAAGCCTTGCCATAAGTTTGTTCACTGATCCATCAGGATTCAGTTTCCTTTTAAATATCCACTTAACTTGTATTACTTTTCTATCAAGTGGCCTATCAACTAGCTCCCAAGTTTGATTTTTCTCAATCACATTCATCTCCTCCTGTATTGCATCCTTCTAGGCTTGAGATTTTGCAGCTTCAGCATAGCATGTAGGCTCCAATTCAGCCACATTACACCTCTCATATATGTCATGCAGAGACCTGGTGCCCCGGACTGGCATTTCATCCACTTCTTTAGGATTCAATTATGTATTCTGATTTTATGGATATGTGTCATGTTGGCTGCTGGTCTTTCTCTCAACTTGCCTCTTTTCCTAATTCCAAGTAGCTTTTTCATCAACTTTGACATCCCTACTAATTACAATCCTTTTAGAGCTTGGATTGTAAATTCGGTAGGCTTTGGACTGGCTGTTGTATCATAATGCCTACTTCAGCCTTCTCATCCAACTTAGTCCTTTTGTTTGCTGGAACAAACACATAACACACACTTCCAAATACTTTCAAATGATCCACATTTGGCTTGACATCATACTAGGCTTCAAAGGGAGTCTTGTTGTCAAGTGCTTTAGTTGGTAACCGATTAAGAATATAGATCCCTGTGTTGACAGCTTCTGCCTAGAAAATTTTTGGCAAATTTTTCTCAATCATCTTGCACCTAGCCATTTCCATCACTGTCCTATTCTTTCTCTCACTCACTCCATTTTGTTGTGGAGTGTATGGACTGCCGAACTGATGCCAAATTCCAGCCCTTTTGCATGCTCCTTCAAACTCATTAGATGTATGCTTTCCACCATTATCACTTCTCAAAGTTTTGAGTGTCAAACCTATTTGGTTTTCAACCAACAGCTTGAACCTTTTGAATATAGCAGCTACCTCACACTTTTGGTTCAAGAAATGCACCCATGTCATCCTAGAAAAATCATCCATGAAGAGGATGAAATATCTACTTCCACTTAGAGAAGTTTGTTGCATTGGACCACACACATCAGTGTGCACAAGCTGGAGCTTTTCACTTGCTCTCCAAGCTTTATTTGTAGGGAATGGAGGCCTGCTGAGTTTTCCAATTTGGCAGGTTTTGCACAATCCTTCACCTTGGTCTATTTCGGGTAGGTTATGGACAAGGTTTTTGTGTTTGAGTTCCTTGAGGGCATTATAATGAAAGTGTCTAAATCTCCTATGCCACAACTCTGAATCATCTATCCTAGCTGAGTGGTTTTGAAAAACAAGCTTTCCCCATTTTATAGGAAAACTTTTTCCCTGCATTCTAACCTTCATCAATTCAGTCCCATCACTCTCTAAAATAACACAAGTGTGATCCTTGAAATGCAAAGAATAATTTTTCTCTAACATTTGTCCTACACTAAGTAGGCTCAAACTGATTTTAGGCACAAACAAAACATCAGTTATGAGTTTAGTACCTGTTTTGGTTTGGACAACAACATCTCCTTTGCCTTTCACCTCCACCAGTTCACCATTTCCCACCTTCACCTTGGATTGGTAACCCTCATCTAGACTCATAAAATTGCTGGCATTTGGGGTCATATGGTTGGTGTAGCCGGTGTCAATCAACCACATGTCAGGGCTACTTGCAACCATGCATTCAGAGACCACAAACAGCTGCTCTGTACTCTCTTCTGTCTGCTGGGAGTGCTGGGAACTTTCCACGGCTTGAGCTTGCTATTCCTGCTGATTCCCTTTGTTATTACACACTCTTTCAATGTACCCAAATTGTTTAAAAGACCTGCATTAAATGCTAGGCCTGAACCAACATCTATTTTCAGAGTGGTTCTTTTTCCTGCAGTGAGGACAAGGAGCAAAAGTTCTTGTTGCACCCACATTCTTTCCTCCTTGACTACTTAGCTTTTCTTTCCCCTTCTTCTCTCCAGCGTACCTCCTATTTTCCCCTTGAAATCCCTTCTTTTTTTTAACTTGCAAACATAGCTCCTTCACCCAAATCTTCCTGCCTCAACAGCCTCCTCTGTTCTTGTGCTTGACAGGAATGCACAAGTTCAGCTAGGCTGATCTGGGACAAGTATTTTGAGTCTTCAACTGAGGAGCTTTTTGCTTCAAATCTTTTGGGTAAACTAACCAAAATGTTCTCCACAATCCTCTGATCAGTCAGCTCCTCACCAAGAAGCTTAATCTTGTTTACAACATTCATTAATCTATCCACGTACTCCTTGGCAGTTTCAGTTTCTTGCATTTAGAGCACTTCAAACTCTCTCCTCAAGTTTAGGATCTGCATGTTTCTGGTTTGGCTACTTCCCCTAAACTCCTCATTGAGCTTTTCCCAAGCTTCTTTAGGAGTAACACAAGCCATTATCCTGGAGAAGACCTGGTCAGTTACTGTAGAATGGATGTAAGAGAGTGCTCTTGGAGCCTTTGCAACCTCCTCTTCATGTATCCTAATCTGATTCAGTGTTGGGTTTGCTCCAAGTTGAGGGATTTGTCTCTCTTCCTCCACATATTGCCATAAGGAATGGCCTCTCAAATAGGTCTTCATTTTGATAGCCCAAACATGGTACTGCTCACCATTGAAGATAGGAGGAGAAAGAGGTGCTAGATTTGTTGCCATGGAGGAGATCTTAAGGGATTTGAGGTTTTTTGGTCTGGAGGATTACGATGGCTCTGATACCAAATGATAGTTTTAGAGCTGGAGAATTCTAAGGAAAAATGTAGCTGTTATGTTGGCACACACACACTAAAGAATGTTTCATACGAGAATTGTCTTTCATTGAACAAAAATGTTGAATATAAAACATGGTTTGCACTGCAGTTACACCTACTCTGCAGCAGGCTTACAATCAAAATTAAACAACCATACTTTACTAACTACTACAAACACATCACATTACATTAACACCTAATCAATAGCAAAGATCAAGCTGAATTCACCTAAGATGTTTATCATAAAATATAAGAAATTCTGATGCATAATAGAAGAGACAAATTCCAACAGAATTCTAGTTTTGCTGCCAGAACATGCAGCTCCAGTACTTCAAAATATTAACCAACTTCATGAGCTTCTAGCATAATATCATTTGATCAACAATATGTATTCCAGGAGCCGTTTTGGTGTTAAATCTTGGACTTTAAGGCTTGGAAATTTACGTAACCGTGTTTCTTGTTCCTTGTTTGTTTCTTTCTGTTGATCCGTATTATATTCTGTACTTGGTGAATTAGTTGGATGGTGAAAACCGGACAAAACTACTTTTTGTTTTTTAGTTCCAAGAGAAGATAATGTGGTTGAAGGGATTTCTTGTAAAAAGCTACAACAAATGAAGTGCCTTTAGGCCTTAATGTTATATAAAAGAACCCACCACCATTTGTGAGTCACTTAGCTCAAGAAAATAGCCTCAAATTTTACATTTTCATCATGTTCAGTTCCAAGAAACTGTTCAAGATGCCCAGGAACTGGCAAAATTTTGCCGCAATCAAAAGGAAGATAATTTCGCTATTAGAAAATGAAAGCAGTGATAGTGATAGCACACCGTTGCTTGCTCACAAGGGTCATTTCTTTGTCTACACTACTGATCATAAACGCTTCTTGATTCCATTGGCTTATCTTCAAAAGAAGATTTTTCGAGAATTATTAAGATTGTTTGCAGAGTAGTTTGGCTTGTGAATTGATAAACCTATTACTTTGCCTTATGATGCATTTTTTGTGGATCACATTGTCATATTAATTGAACAAGGTGCAGCCGAACATGTAAAAAAAGCTTTGCTCATGTCAATTGCTACAAGTTGCTGCACATTGGTTTCTCTTTTCCAGGAAAAGCAAACAAACCAACAAGTAATTGTTTGCAGTTGTTGAACAAATTAAATTTCTTTTTGAATAATTAAATATTTCATTAATAAACCAGACTTTTTTGTGAATTACCAGAGAGAGGTTTCTTTTATTCCATGATTAGCTACACTTTTGAAGTTTGTAAAATGTAAATCATGGCATCTACATGCTGTTTTGAAATGATATACATAAGTCCACAAGTTGAGTCCACTGGCTGGACCTATTGGCAAAAACTTGCTGGTAACACAATAGGAAGCATTGAATTTCTTTCACTATTAATTTGAATATCTATTGAGATGTCAGAATCTCATTTAAGTAGGGTTTCTGTTAGGCAGTTCACTAGCATTTAGGGTTTAATTAACATGTCTGGTTCGTTTGTTTCATATTAGTACAAATTCCAAAATCACAAATTCAGTGAAATTCTTGTAAAGACTGGTTCATGAAATTTTGAGCCATCACTAGGTTTAGACCCACTTGATGTGCTGATCTTTAGATATTACCAAACAAGTCCAACAGCCTAGATAGCAGATTCAGTGTGCTATTACATGGCTGTGCTTCACAGAAGTCCCTACACAGGGGAAGCAACATTAAAGGGATTGTCTCTAACCTGATGACTATATAACCAATCCATTTCCATAGCCTTCTACCATGTAGAGCCACACCATTTCAGTGTTCTTGACATCCAACACATTTCTCTCCCATAACTTAAGATCTTTTTTTCTCTAGTTAACATGAAACAACATGATTAGTCCGAAGAAGCTTATCAAATTGGCAAAGAAGTGGCAGAACCTAGCTGCAAGCAAGCGAAAAAGAATCTCATTGCCAACAGCATCTGGGGTTGCCAAACCAGAGATTTGCAACCCATCTCCAATTCCTGAGAAGGTTCATTTTGTTATATACACTGTAGACCAGAAGCACTTTGCTATTCCCTTAAAATATCTTAAAAACAACATCATTCAAGAACTCTTTAAAATAGCAGAATATGAGCTTGGACTTCCTGGTGCTAGGCCTATGACATTGCCTTCTGATGCAGTTTTCATGGAGTATGCAATCTCATTGATCCATAGGCGCATGTCAAAAGTTTAGAGAAGGTATTGCTCACGTCCTTAAGTATCAGTTGCTGTTTGTGGTCTTCATACCACAATCAGGAGTAAAGTACCCAACAATCACTAGCTTGTGCCTTCTAAAGCAGATCTTAGTTTAGTTGAATCTTTGTATACAATTTATAATACTGTAAAAAGATACTTTATGCATTATTATTAAATCCTTAAAGTTCCTCCATAATTAGTTACTCTTGAGGCAAACCAGTGTTATCTTTAGAGAAGAACTAAAATATTCTTGTTAGTTTTGTTGAAAAGTGATATCATGTTGGAAATGAAGAAAGTTGGCAGAATTTTGAACTGCAGTTTTATAGCCGATTGATCTCCCTCAATTCATGTAGAAGCAGTTTTTGAGTCACTGTGTTGGATTGATTCAGTGACATGTTTAGGTGTATTAGGTTTGGTTGAGTGTATTTTCACTCATGCTTGTACGTGTATTAGTAGGTGTAGTAAGTTTAAATTTTAATTTTGAAATTTCATTAGTTGGAACAGTGGCGTGTGCGTTGTATATTTTTACCCATGTTTTTTGAATAAAAAACAGAGCATTATTGCAGTCTTATGTTTCTCTTTTGTTCATATGTTTTTCTCCTTCGTTTCCATGCAAAAGCAACAAATGGTATCAGAGCTTGAATTGATCTGAGAGAGCCTGATAATATAATCTTCTTTCTTCTCACTTTCAACCCCAGTTTCGTCACTCTCTTTGTCAAAACTCAAAACATTCAGTTTCAATGGCATAGCCTCTAGTCTCTCTCACTCCTCCAGTATTTAATGGCGAGCAATACCACATGTGGGCAGTCAAGATGAAAGCATTCCTTCGTGGATAGGGTTTATGGCAGTACATGGAAGAGAATCATCAACTGCCTCACTTGGGACCAAATCCCACCCTGAATCAAATCAGGATGCATGAAGAAGAGCCTGCCAAGGCACCGAGAGCTCTCTTGCACATTCATGCAGTAGTGACTGACCTTGTATTCTCAAGGATCATGGTGTATGAAACACCAAAGGAAGCATGGGATAAGTTGAGAGAAGAGTATACGAGTAGTGATACAATAAGAGGCATGTAGGTGTTGAACCAAAGAAGAGAATTTGAGTTGCTGAAAATGCGAGAAACTGAGAAAGTAAGGGAGTATGTTGATAGATTAATGAGTGTGGTTAATAAAATTAGATTACTTGGGGTGGAGTTGACGGATAGAAGAATTGTGGAGAAAGTGTTAGTAAGCCTACATGAAAGGTTTGAGGCTAAAATCTCCTCTCTTGAGGATTCTAAAGACCTGACTCAAATAACACTTACTGAGCTGGTCCATTCTTTACAAGCTCAAGAGTAAAGGAGGCTTTTAAGGCTGGAAGACTGTAACACCCCACTTGAAATATGTAGCCATTGTTTATGGTATGGCCTAGAGGTTTACTGAATTGCTCCTGAATGAGTTTGTATATTGTTATTATTGGTTGGTTGGCCCTTAGTTGAATTTTGTTGAAGTTATTTTGAGAAAAATGTGAAGAAAATCCCTTAAACTTGCATTAAGGGTAAAATGGTATTTTCACTCAAAATTAGTTGAAATTGTGGGGAGTGAAAAGAGATAGAATTCCATGGAGAGTGCATTAAAAATGAGGGCTTTATTGTAAATGACTAAGGGACATAGATGGAATTTCTAAGGAAGAGAAAGGGCAAAATGGGAAATGATGGTTATAATATGAGCTAAAAAGGTTTAAGTGTAGAGAACCCTTCATTTCACCCATTTCCACCGCCATACCCATTCTCTAATTTCTCTCAATTCTTCACTCAATCGTCCAAGGGATTTTTGAGAGTTTTGAGTTGGAATTTGGCAAAGAATGGATCCTAAGCAAGAAGAGGTAAGAATCCCTACTCTAGATATGAGTTTTATTTATGTAAAGGCTAAGTCCTGACTAAGTTTATGCTTAGGAAATAAGGGAAAGCTAAGGTCCAACAAGAGTAGAGAGCTATGGTGAAGACTACTCAAGTATGAGGTAAGTAAATCCAACCAAGTTGAGATTTGAGAAATCTTTTGAGTAGAGATTTATATATGCATGAGTATGTTATGCTTGCTGAGAAATTGAGTTGAGATGAGAATTTACTCTAGTGTTGTTGGATATACTTTAATTATGAGAAGTGTTTGATGTGTCAAGAGAGATTGAAATTGAGTTGAAGTTGGAGGAGTTTTGTATGAATATTTTTGGGAGTGTTTTCCTTGGCAAGAATTATGGCTATATGAGGGAGTTTTCCTCCTATTTTGGATGGGTAAAGAGAAGAGTAGAGTTATAGATAAGTAGAGCTTTGGTAAGCACATGAGTTGTTTGATGATATGCCTAAGTGAAAACTGCCCTGTCACAGCCGTGACTTTCTAAGTGATTTTTTGGCATCTTACAAATTGAACTGGGCTGAGACCAAAACATAAAAGTTATACCCTATCTCTAAGCTTTAAAACGAAACCAAAACCGTAGCAATCCGAGGTGTATAGCTCAAGTTATGGCTTCTTTAGTGTGACCTGCACAGAATGACTATTTTTGATGCAACATTGTATATTTGGCATTTCATAAGTGCATTAAGGAGCATGAACCACCCATATGCATTAATTGTGCATTGAGGAGTAGCTTGAGAAATAGTAGAGAATGTTGGGTATGAGCTACATTATGAGTACTAGCTTAAGAGTAGAGAATGTTGAGTATGAGCTACATTATGGGTACTAGCTTAAGAGTAGAGAATGTTGAGTATGAGCTACAATATGAGTACTAGCTTGAGATAGAGTGGAGAACTTTGTGAATAAAATACTCAAAGAGTATAGCTTGAGAAAGAGTAGGGAACTTTGTGAATGAACTACTCTAAGAGTAAAGAGAAAAACAAAAGAAGAGAATAAAGTAGGTTGTGCGATGGGGAACCCGTGAGTAATGAGTAAAGTCACGAAAGTGGGCGCTTTGTGATCCCCAGTCATGCCTTCAGTAAGATGGGGTCATGACCGTCACGAAGAGTGGAACATGAGGTTCCAGCCGTGCCTCTGGTAAAAAGGGGCCGTGACATTCGAGAGATAGAGAAAAAGAATGTACACTCACATGGCCAAGGGTTCCGAATCCATGCATAACCAAGTCCAATCGGCTGAGAATGAGTAGAAGTCATGTAGAGCGGGCGAGTTCCTGGCCGTGCCTCCGGTAAGATGGGGTCGTGACACTCGAGTGAGAAAGAATGAGAAAAAACAGAGAAAGAGAAAGAACAGAAAGAGAAATGAGTAGAGTCGTGAAGAGTGGGATGAGTCCCCAGCCGTGCCTCCGGTAAGATGAGGCCGTGACATACACCAGAGAGTGTACAGAAAAGAGCATGAGAAAGAGAGACAGAAAGAGAATCATAGAAGTCATGTAGAGCGGAAGAAGTCCCGGCCATGCCTCCGGTAAGATGGGGCCGTGACATTTAAAGAAAGAGCTAGTAGAAAAGAATTATGAGAAATGAGAAAGAGATAATAGAGAGAATTAAAGGATGAGAAAGCTTGAGAAAGAATGAGATAGAATAAGAGGTTTTGAGCTAGTAGGAATAAAGAGTAGAAGAAAGAAACATGCAATTCTTTTGCATTAATTGCATATACATCTCATACATGCATGCACCATGATTTCTTCCATGGTTAGTGAGAGTATGATGAGCATAAGAGAGAACCATGATTTTCCTTCATGGTGAGTATGATGAGAATAAGAGAGAACCATGATTTTCCTTCATGGTGAGTAAGCATAAGAGAAGAAGAAAAGAGAATGAGAATAGAGAAAAAGAAAGAATAAAAAGAGCAGAATAGAGTTAAAGGAGAATAAAAGTATTAGCAAGAAAGAGAAAAACAGTGAGAATTAGAAATAGAAGAACGGTAGAGTAAGGAAAGAACCAAAGAGTGAGTTGTGGGGACAGGTAGTAGATGATTTACTTACTGAGCATTATTGTGCTCACCCCACTGTTCTTCCTTGTTTTGTAGGAATTAGGAGCAACGGTCGGATGGACGTCAAGGAGCGGAGAGTATTGGCACTACTGTCCACCAGTTATGATATGTTGTATTAAGTAGAAAGTTTTTAATACAGAGTATTTTGTATATGTGAAGAATTATATTTTATGAGTAAAGAAAAGTTTGAGCCCACTATCTTCCATACGCTATGTATATTTATAATTTGCATAGTATGCATTATATGAATAGTAGTAGAGAGCAGGTGTTACAAAGACGCATGTGAAGGTGCTATGGTTGCAACACATAAAGGGAAGTTTGTGCAGGCTAGAAATAAGAGAAATGCAAGAGATAAGAAGGGGAAAGAGAAGGCTAACGTTCAGTGGAACAAATATGGTGGGATGAAAGAGTATCCACTGTGTTCCCACTACAAGAAGAGGGGACACTCAGAAAAACGGTGTTGGTTTAGACAAGAATTCAGTACAGAGCCTATAAACAATTCGGCCATATGGAGAGAGTTTGTAAAAATAAAGGGGAATCCTCTCAGCAGCAAGCTTAGATGGTTGAAGATTTGCAGCAAGGGCAGGAAGCTAAGTAGTTATTTGTGGCATCCTACGGGTCTGCCTTATCATGCAATGAAACCTGGTTGATTGATAGTGGATGCACAAGTCATATACTCCAAATTTGCAGAGCTTCATTAGCTTGGACATGGCGTTTCAATCCAAAGTCAAGATAGGGAATGGAGAATTTGTGGATGTTAAAGGGAGATGTGATGTGGCTGCACAAACTCAATCAGGCATTAAACTGATTTCTAATGTGCTTTATGTTCCTAAATTAAATCAAAGTTTACTTAGTGTAGGACAAATGTTAGAGAGAAAATATGTCCTACATTTTCAGGATCAATCTTGTAAGATACTAGATAGTGAGGGCTATGAACTTATAGGAGTTAGAATGATGGGAAAAATCTTTCCTATTGACTGGAAAAAATCAGAATTCAAAACTCATAGTGCCAAGTTAGATGAATCTGAAATTTGGCACAAACGTTTTGGCCATTATCACT